AACCCATTTCTGCTGTGTTTATGTCAGGTGGCCAGGTCACGTGATGCGACACTCTATCACTCTCCTTTGTAGGCGGCTTGGCTTGTGGTATCCTTGCCAGCAGGAACAACTTATGGAGTTAGTAAGTCTGTCCTGGACAGTATAGCTTAGCTATTCACTGCTCTGGGGTCATTTTCACATGTCCTTCCTGGCAGAATCACTCCAGGCTGTTCAAGTGATTCTGATGAAGTTTGTGCGGTTTTATAAGGGTGCCTCTGCACGGCAGTGAGGGCTCTGACCGAGACCATATAGAACATTCACCTTTTCCTTCCGTGTTCACTGTAGTGTTACTTTAACGGTGCCTCTGCACGGTAGTGAGGGCTCTGACCGAGACCATATAGAACATTCACCTTTTCCTTCTGTATTCACTATAGTGTTACTTTAATCTTCAGTTTGGGATCATTGTCCGGCTGAGAGAAGCGTTGGTCTCTTCACTTCCCTGATGCAGGTTTCTTTGCAGAAGTTTACTTTATTAGCTGAGTCCCCGTTGATGGAAATCATCAGCACTGCCAGATGTGATCAGCACCACCCTTCACTGAAGCTGTGGAGATGTTTAAGCCTTGTGAAATGGTAGATTTGTGCCACACATATATTTTTGAATTCTGGTTAAAAAGCTCCTTCCCACGCCCATGTGACCAAAGTCTCTTTTCCCAGATTGCATCAAGCTTTTCTTTTCGCAAACCTGAAACGTGCTTCCCCGCACCTCCTTTTGGGTAATAGCTTCTCTTGCACCATCTTCCCCTACCAGCCAGCCTTATGCAGACCTCTCGATATGGCTGGTTGGGGAGCCTTGACTCCACCACTGAACTTTGCGGATCCTTCAAAGAGATTTCTGGCCCCAGTGTGGGTTTCTCCGAAGCCTCCTTCTCCTTTCTGTGGAGTGACAACCTTTTCCATGCAGTGTCTGGTGGCTGGACGGAGTTTCCAGTTCCTGATAAATAAACCACTGGTGCCCCGTGGGACATCCCAAAGCTGCTTTTATTACTAGCTTACGCATTTCTTTATTTATTTCTATAATTTCTCTTTTGTCTCCATTTTCTCGGCTTCCCTTCAGATTCACAACCCTAATAATGATCCTCACCTGTAGGGTTTCCATTCAGAAAGAGTGGAAGTTATTTTAATAATTCACAGGTAGAGGTCAGTTTGTAAACTCTGAGCTCCTGCAACACATGCAGTGAATACTAATGCAAAGAGTCTATTTCAGTTTTTTATTTTCTTAAGAATAGTTTCTAGCGAGGGGTGGTGCACAGCACTGCTGCCTCACTCCTCAAGGCCCTGGGTTAGAGTCTCAGCCATTGCATGCTCTCCCAGTGTCACTCTGGGATTTCTTCCAGTTACTGCAGTTTCCCCCCACAGTCCAAAACATGCTGAGACTAACTGCAGTTAACAAATTGCCTGTAGGTGTGAGTGTGTGAGTGTGTGTGTGTGTGTGTGTGTGTGTGAATGTGCCCCATCCTGGGTTGCTCCCTGCTTTGTGCCCGTAGGCTCCAGACTCCTTCCAACCCTGAATAGGACAAGCGGTTTCAGAAGATGGATGGATAGTTTCTAGTGTAAAACACTGACACTTAAATAAAAAGTAATTTTTTATTTTCTCTGATTTGTCATTTAGTAACAGAGAGAAACAGGCAGGGGTCTAGATGCTTCTGCATGTTCCTGTATATACATTTGTCTGTTAATCAGTTGTCACTGCACTGTACAGTGCTTATTAAGACGATTTTTTTGTTCGTCAAGCAAAAATCCTTGAGGCACTTCCCCTCACAGTCTCTGACCTTCTCTGGTGTCATTGGTTTTTGTAGGCATGTGTGAAATGACAGGCTGCCCCATTTTGTTCTGCATCACCCTTTCGTCTTTCATGTCTCACTTTTGATGTTTTCTTTTTTCACAGATCAAATCTAAATGTGTTTTGCTCATCGTGGCTCCCATCTATCTGCCGGATAAACTGTGATTTTGCATTAACCCTGCATTAATTTTCATATAGGAATGCCATTAGTCCTATACGCCGATCAGCCATAACATTAAAACCACCTGCCTAATATTATGCAGGCACCCGTCGAGGTATGGACTCCACAAGACCTCTGAAGGTGTCCTGTGGTATCTGGCACCAAGACATTAGCAGCAGATCCTGTAAAGTCCTCTAAGTTGTGAGGTGGGGCCTCCATGGATCGGACTTGTGTGTCCAGCAAATCCTACAGATGCTTGATTGAACTGAGATCTGGGGCATTTGGAGGCCAAATCAAAACTCTTTTTCATGCTCCTCAAGCCATTCCTGAACAATTTTTGCAGTGTGACTGGGCTTTTAGCGGTGAGAAAGGGTCAGCATGGGCACTCTGACTGGTCTGCGACAGTGCAGCTCCATACACAGCAAGCTGGGATGCATTATGACACCTTTCTGTCATAGTCAGCATTAACTTTCTCAGCAATCTGTGCTGCAGTAGCTCCCCCATGGAATCAGACGGACGGGTTAATAGCCTTTGCACTCCACACTGGTCAATGAGCCTTGGGCACTTTCAGAAGCCCCCCCCCCCCCACCACTTCACCCACATTAAGCTCTGCACGCTGCCCCGGTCCCTGTTGCAGGCCACCTGCTCCAGCAGCCCCCCCTGTCCTGCCCCCCCCTCACCCGCACTGAGCTCCGCATGCTGCCCTGGTCGCTGTTGTACGCTTCCACCTCCAGCACGTGTGAGCCGCTGTTCTCCCGGTCCAGGGCTCGCTCGCCCCGCGTCACCAGCCCCGTCAGCCCGTTGATGTTGAACTGCCGGTTGATGTTCCCTGTGAAGGAGCGAGGCGGGCGTGCGGCACTCAGAAAGCAGCGCTCAGTGTCAGACAAACACCCAGCCGTAAAACAGCTCTGCCATATTCAGGAATCAATACCAAATTTTTAAGCCCCATTCAATTAAGTCTGAGATGTTATCATGATAAATTACAGCCCTCATGACACATTATGCAAGTGACTGCTCAAAGAGACCAATTTATTCATTTTAACTCACTCATTTAAGTGCTTTAAATGCACCTGGCTGCCAATCCTGTGAAGTGCCATTTTGCCATATAGTTATGCACACTAAACATACACCTGGCAACACCTCTCTTGGCTTCTGATTGGTCACTGACGCAGTACAGTCGAATGAGGGGTCTTGTCGGGTACAGGCCCTCAAACTCACTCTTCCTCTCATACATACATACTGTAGGCATACACAGTTTTTCTATACCGTAAGTGTTCACATTGCCTATTTTCTGCTGTGTTCTTTAATGAATATTGACTGCAAAGGGCAAAGTGTTTTTGTTTTCTTGTTTAGTGAGTGGATGCTTATTGTGCATATTTTCAGCTGCAGGACAGGATGAAGTTAGAGGTCACCCCCCCACCCACCCTGGGCACTTACCAGACAGTATCCTGTACAAAACTCTACCGTTTTCTCCCTGGTCTGCATCTGTGGCTTGCACCTGTGTTGAAACACACACACACACACACACACACACACACACACACACACACACACACACACACAGGTTTGTAATTATATCATTGTGGGGACTTGCCATTCATTTCTATGGAAAAAACTCTAATCCCAACATGACGACCCTAACCAGCCCTAACTTTACCCGTAAGTAACCAAACTAAATATGAGACTTTTTGCATTTTTAGTTTTTCGATTGCGTTCACAAATATTTGCGGGGACCTGAAAAATGGTTCCCACAACGTCAAAATAATAGGTTTTGATTACGTTGTGGGGAACATTTGGTCCCCACAACGTAAAATAAACATAATCCGCCCCCCCCCCCCCAACCACACACACACACACACACACTGACAAGGTGAGGCATACCCTAATATAGTTATTCCACATGCCCATGCACACTACCACCCTACAAACAAACACTCCCACACACACACACACAGTGAGGAGGGACAAAATTACCACACAAATAATATTAATAATAGTAAGAGTCTCAGAATGCAGACTGTCTGATGCAGCTGCTCCTTACACATGCACACACACTCATAGAAGTAGCTGGCAGGAACGTCATCCCTGACTGCGCTCCCCCCCTCCCCCGCTTCCACCTCCTGCTAACTAATGCGCTACCATGGCAACCCCTCGGCGACGCAGACCGCCCCTCCCGTGACGGCGAGCCTTTCTTGTAAACGCGGGCACCTTTGGAGAAGCACAGAACAAAGAGGCCAGCGCAGCACTTCAGCTCAGCCGGTGTGGCGCGCAGACCGTACGCGCGCAGACCGTATGCAGACTGCGCGGGGCGGCTGCACTGCTGCCTTAACGCCCCCTTTTCAGGCGTTCAATGGATTAAATTAAAAAAATAAAAATAAACTCAGTGGTCTGAGGAGGATGAGAACATTTCAGGAACTTCAGCTTCAACCTGATTAAACACAGATTGACTCTGATTGGCTACCAGACGTTTGAGCCCAAATTAGCTGCTTTCAACACAGAGATTCATACCCCTTTATTGTGGTCACTTTGGACAGACACGTAGAGAAGTGTCACAAAAAAAGAATATTCATGTCAACTGACTCATACATAGCAACTATGCACCTAGTTACTGTCACACACACATAGAGCCAGCAGACCCTGCTTTGCTCTCATTAGCTTGATAAAGGGCTTTTTTGGCGTGGGGGGGAGTGAGTGCTGGCTGGATGGGTAGAGTGGGGGCTCAGGCTTGAGGGTGATGAATGGGATATACAAGCTAGACTGTGCCATTCACAGCACTACAGGGGTGCACAACTTCCACGGTAAAGTACATTTCATAAAGATAAAAACCAACACGCAAAATCTCGCATCGGAACAATGTGAGAATATAATGTAAAAGTGCTACTTTATGGTTTGAGGCATTCTGCATTTTTATGAATTAAAATTACAAAATAAAAAAAGTCAGGTTGATAATTCCTTTACCCATGGTTGACCCCCCCCCCAAATCCAACCCCCCAGTTTTCTCTTTTTCACCTCCAAGAGAAACTGCAATTGGAGAAGTTGGGAAAGTTGGGACTTGGTGAAACGGCTTCTCTCGGTGGTTGAGGTAAATACTGATGTATTTTCAATGTCACCACATTATGAACTTTTCTTAGGAACGTTTCCCTCTTTGTGTATTTCTGTATTACCGTCCTCAACAGACAATTTTTTGATATTGTATGAGTAGGTGCGCATTAGTGTGTGTGAATGTGACGTTACTGGTGTTACCGTGGTAATTAAGAGTAACAGACGCCACTCCGCAAGATTTTATCCATGTTTTATCCATGTTTAGCTATTTATGCAGAATGAGGACAAAAAAAAACTAAATTCTTCTGTGTTGGTCCTGGGGGAGGATATCAGTACTAACCAAGCAAACAGTGTGAATTTGATTTGTAAAAGAGATGAAAGACGTACAGTAGACTGATCTTGGTATAAATTGTATTGTGTGCCTGTGTGCAATTAAATGAGGAGGGGCTAAGAATCTCAGAGTTATAGTGAGTACGCATGTGTGAATTTTAATTGCTGAATGGAAGAGGACAGGCCAGTGACAGGCGGGTTTGTGTGACTATTTTATCTGGCAGGTGCAGCCAGCAGGGATCACATGTGTGAGCTGGAAGGGGGATTGCAGACCTGTGGCTCTGACACGATCTCCGCCACATTTCTGTCAGAGACCTCCTCTCAAAACTGACTTTATCAGTTTATGGCCCAGTGCCCCCCCCCACGAACCAATACGTTCTACATTGTTTCCACTGAATGAGACCCGATGACATTTACAAACATTATGGTTAAGATCTGTGACTTGGGGCAGTGCCCAAGGGGTGGAGGAGGTGTACAGGGCGGGGGGGGGGGGGGCGTAGAACTGTGGTCCCAGGGAGGGTGGGTTGCTGGGGGAGGTTCACAGCAACAACGACTATTTGTAAAATGCTGCAGAAATAATCTTGTTCGGTCAGTTATTAAGCAACTATGTAATTGCCTGAAATGTCAGTGCATGCAAAGATGTGTGTGTACTTGCTGCCACTACCAGGCCCAACCAGAAAAGTCTGCTGACTTTGCTACTCAAAGTTTTAGGTAGTGCAGGATTTATTAAACTGAATGTATTTTCCAACANACTTGCTGCCACTACCAGGCCCAACCAGAAAAGTCTGCTGACTTTGCTACTCAAAGTTTTAGGTAGTGCAGGATTTATTAAACTGAATGTATTTTAGAAAAGGCATAAGAGACAGGATTTTTTTAAAGGGTTTGGTGAGATTTCTGTTTGGTCCCGCGGCCGGAACCGCCGACTCCAGAGGGTTAAAGCAGAGGTGGCATTGGCGTAAGGGCATCCTGGCCTGTGTGGACCCGAGCTGTGTTCACGTGCTGGAGAATATGAGCTCAAGCCAAGCGAAAGCTGAGAGGCGCACAAATGGTAAAGGTCACGATTGTGAGGGGAAATGAGGGACGTGCGAGCGGAAGCAGTGCCATCTAGCAAAGCGGCAGGCGGGGGCCGCGTGAGCGGGGGCAGGCTGTAGACAGTTACAGCAGCAAGATGCTGATTAAGCTATTAATGATGAACTAAATTTGCAATAAATGAGCAATGAGAGGAGGAAATATAGCAGAGCTGTGAAGGGTATGCATTGCTGGTTAAGTCCCATGACAAGCTGTGCCCCACAGTGAAGTACTTAATGTGTAAAGTGCATAGTGCCCCGGTTAAAAAGTTCAGCTGAATAATAATGTGCTCATCCTTCATTTCTACCCAGATCCATAAAACATGAGCACCCCAGTGATCAACACTTCCTCCTTCCCTCCGACGGAGGCGCTGTCCATGAATTTCAGCAGCCCCCCCAGCCCCACCTTACTACCAGCTGCCCTGTCCCCCCCGCTCCCCACCATCATCGTCGTGTTCTGCCTCTTCATCCTCTTTCTGAGCTGTGCCACCTTCCTGGCTGTGTGCAGGCCATCTACAGGGGCGGGGCTCCCCCATGGGGGGTGTGGCCTTGGGGAGCCCCTCCCTTGCAGCCCATCCCCGCCCAGTGAGCCACAGCTGCGCCTGTGGAAGCGGCTGGGCTCCATGCGTCGCTCCCTGACGTCTTCATTCCGGAGGCCCCCCCAGCGACGGCCTGACAGGAGGGCGTCGCCGTCTACCACCCCCCCGCCACACCTCAGTGTGCCCTGCCTCTATGACCATGCCACTGAGATCTGACCGCCCCCCCCCCACGGAAGCTCCTGCTGACCGCACCTGCTCCCTGTTGCCAGACTGCAACGAAGGAATCTACCATAACATTCGGGTGGCTTGAATGCAGAGAGGATGATGGGAAATGAAGTTCAGAGTCAATTTAAGCCTCACCTCTCAAAGGCAATGTCACAATATCATGTATTAACTGGACTTGCAGGGTGATGTTAATTCAGAATAAGGCTGGGAGGACCGTAACTGTGGGTAGTCAGCACCACAAATAGGGAAGAGGCTGCAATTACGTTCATCCTACGTTCTCCTAACACTAGTGCCTAACCTTGCCTTTATTATCCTCTTTTAGTGGTTAAATGGATGGCCTTTCTTTCTAAGCTTAAGACGCCATCCCTGATGCAAAGTTGGGGGCAGAGGTAGAAAGGGGAGAGGCTCTGTCTATCATAGACAGAACCTAGAAGTTACTACACCAGGATGAAACTATCACCAAATCACAAACCCATTGAAACAGAATAATTCTGTGTATGCAATAACACAGATACAAATGAGTTTCCTGCAAACATCTCAGCAAACAAGCTGGGTCAGTGCGACTTGACTACTTCACAGATCTGTTATAAGTTCACGAGAGGCCAGAGGGACCTGCACGTGAACTTGTGAACTTGTAAACAAATGCTGCGCAAACCTTTTACTGAGGCAGAAGGCGGTTTCGCCTGCTCCTGCTCTTCATGAGAGACTGCGCGCATTCGGCTCTGCCTCGGCACTGATGTAGTAACACTTCATCTCTCACTTGACTGTTTACACAAGAACCTGTCAGGCTTCCCACCCGGTACACTCCATCATGCCAACATGCTCCCCATGAATGGGTCTTAACATGCCGGACTGTACCATCTCAGCAAAACTGCCGAGAGGAAGGGTGTGTCTTTGGACCCTACCATCACAATGTAGCATCTCTTTGAGGGGTGCATGTTCTTCCTCCACTAAACTGACATTTCCTGAAAGGAGCTTCTTAGGTAACTACTTTTTGAGGCATTCCTCCTTAGACAAAAGCCGGGGGGATCTGATTTTAATTTTAACTACTTTATATTGTTACTATTGAAAGCTGCAGCACAAGTAGCACAGCTAATAGCTGAATCATGATTGGGGTTAATGGTTCATTCCAGGCCAGTCTCAGTCTCTAATGTGAGTGTCAGCATAACTCTATGACCATCTCACCGTTTTCTCCTTAAACATACATACACTCATTGATCTACTTCTTTCCAAAGTTCTACAGCTGTTTTCCATCAAGTGCCTCTCTTATGATGCAATCCATCCATTTTTATAAGACAATAAAAAAAGAAGACTTTCCCGGTATGAGTATTCTGTTTCGCGAGCGTGTGTGCCAGTCTAGGTGTGTGTACCTGCAGGATGTTCGTGCCACGTGGAATGGTCTCCAGCACGCTGGTCTCGTAGCTGTTCTGTAGGAAAATGGGCCGGTTGTCATTGACGTCGAGCACCTCCACGTACACGGTAGCCGTCCCGGTTCTCCTACTTCCAGCCGGGCCGTTGTCTGATTTGAGCACAGGCAGAAGGGCGGTGAGAGATGGACAGGCCCAGAGACAAAACCGTGGAATCTGTTCTCTTGGTCAAAAGGCCTCGTTTGTTTTTTGTTTTTTTTTGCCCGTCTGCCTACAACTCAACAGGTTGCATGCAGGTTTGAGGTCACTGTTTGCAAGGTGTTTTACCCAGATTTTTCTTGAGCAGCAGAACATGCGAACAGCTCAGTTACTCCACAGTGTGAGGATAAACAGGAAACCTCAAAGATCTTTAGCTCACGGCAGTAAAGGGAAACAAAGGAACTGCAAAATCACTTAAAAAATTAAATATAAAGTGGTGGATTTGCATGCATCGCCTGACTGCTTGACGGCAGGGCGATAAGGAAGCCCTCAAGTATAACGGCAACTACCGAAGACGTTTTAAGTTTAGCGACACACAGCTTTACAAAGAGCAAACATCTGGCAGGAAACAGTTAGCGGATGCGTGCAGATCACATATTTGTGTATCTGCGGTAGAATGAGTTTCACACATACCCCTCTCCCAAGTATGGAGCCACTCACCGATGGCCTCGATGACAAGGGTGTAGGAGGCCTGACTCTCTCGGTCCAGGCCGACCACAGTGCGGACGACACCGTTCCGAAATCCTACGCTGAACTTTCCGTCTTCGTTTCCACCTGGGAGAGGGCAGCTGTTTGTGATCGCAGGGCAAACAGTCTCCTCTTTGAATTTTTATTTAGCCCTGCTGGTTGTAGCCGCTAACAAATAAAGAGGTAGTGTGTGGCTCAGTAGGTTAGAACACGGTCACTGTGGCCTGCCATCGGAGGGTTGTTGGTTCAAATCCCAAGGCTGGCAGACTAATGGTGACATAGGGCCCCTGAGCAAGGCCCTTAATCCCCATCTCCAGCGGAGCTGCAGGCTGGCTGACCCTGTGCTGTGACCCCCAAGCTTGCTCTCAGCTGTGTACAGTATGTGTCTCATAGAGAGCAAGATGGGATTGGCGAAACAGCACTTTCCTCAGAGGGATCAATAAAGTACCACTATTCTATACTTAAGGGCTGTAAATAACCCTGATGTCCATGCCTGGTGATTGTTGGGTAAGTTCTGGTTCCTACACTCTTTCCCACAAATACAGAGATAAAAGTAACGGGGGCGGCCGACCACACTGTGGATTCCAGCAGCCGTGGGCTGTGACCTCTGACCTCTAGCCGTGTGGAGTGAGAATACAGTGGCTGACTGCGTTGACGCCGCTCAGAGGCACACACCGCATTCGCAAACACATGGCAGACGTCGGAGACGCGCTGAGCTCTGACGGCGATGCGACATGCCACAGCGAAAACCGACACGGCGCGCTGCACTCGATGCAAGCCGGCTGAAGAGCTGCATCTCTGATCATATGACGCCCCGACACACCGCAAGACCCCACGCTGCTCAGCGGCGGAGAGGTTTCTTGCGGCTGCACTTGCCTCCCCCCCCCCCGACCCCCGTCCCCCACAACCGCTGCGTTTCCTGCACTGACATGCACGCGCCTTGCCCTCCCTCACCCGTGATGAAGTAGCTCAGCTCGGCATTGAGTCCGGCGTCGTTGTCGGAGCAGTTCAGCCGGGTCACCACGAAATCCCGCGGCACGCTCTCCAGGACCGACACGTTGTACACTCGTGGGAAGAAGGTGGGAGTTTCGTCATTTGCGTCCAGCACTGCCGGACAGAGACGGGGAAAAGGGCAGAGGCACGTTAATGGCATTTCAGTAGCAAAAATACCCAAAGTGCTGCTTCAAAGAAAGCAGCTCAATCAGCCATATAGCAGCCCTGCACCTCCATTGTCGTGGGTTCAAATCCCACTTCTGTCATACGTATGCTAAATTTACATGTTCTCACTGTATTCACATAAGTTTTTATTGGTCAATTTGGTTTCCTCTGGCAGTCCAAAACCATAAAGTTAGATAAAGCTGGGGTCTTTAAGTAGTGTGAGATGGGTCACGTCAAGCCCAGCCATGGACTGCCATCTATGCTGCATGTTCCTCGGGTTCTGTGCCCCTAGAGACCGACTTCAGGCTTCCCACAAATGCAGGTGTATGCATACATAAGCCCTGCATGTGCTTAAAAAAATGCAAGTGCAAATGTTCCTGCTGCTCTGATACTTAACTAGAATTTTTTCAGAAATACTATTTTTGGAGAACAGCTGACTCGGCTTTCTGATTTGTAATGTTGGAAATGCACCAATAGGTGGCAGCAGTTGCTTATTTTTCTGAGTTCAAATCACACGGTTTAAAAACCTGTCATCCATCCATCCATCCATCCCAAAACTGCTGATACTGGTCACGGTTGCATGGGGGCCTGGTACTTACCCCAGGCAGCATAGGGCACAAGGCAGGAATCTACCCTGGATGGGATGCCAGTTCATCACAGGGCACATAAATGCACACGCACACTTTCTTTAGGCAATTCAGACACACCAATTAACTGCGTTTGTGGACTGTGGAAGGAAGCTGAAATAAATTAGGGAAAGCTGTACAGAGCAAAGCCCGTTGCATGCCAGCCAGAGGGGCTGCAAGCTGAGCCACTGTGCCATCCATTTTATACTTGGTAGCTTGTCACTCACTCCCCACCCCCGACTACCACCTCCAGGGAGTGCCACCCCCTCCTCAGTACCTGTGATGGTCAGGGTACTGGTGGAGGTGCGGGGAAACTGGCCGGCGTCATACGCCACAACCCTGAGTAGGTACTGCCCGATCTGCTCCCTGTCCAGCGTGGCCGTGGAGACCAGGATTCCCGTGCTGGTGTTCAGGACAAAGTCCAGCCTGGGCATGCCCATCTGAAGGGCCATGGTCACCTGGCCGTTCTTATCCTCGTCCGGGTCCGACACTTGTATCTGCGAGAAGTGCGCGGGGAATTGATGCATTGTGAAGAAAGTGAACAACAACCACAAGCACACAAGCTCAGGCGGCAGGTAAACACACAGGCACAGAAGAATGCACAATATACAGAGGCTACAGCACCTCGGAAATACAGGCAGTCCGTGGGTTAAGAACATCTTACGGATAATTTGTACTTACGAGCGGACTGCCATAAAGCCATTATATTAAACATTCGGGCTAAATAAAATAGTTCGTGATAACAAATGCAAGTACTACTTTGTAATGCTTGTGAAAACATTGCATAGTTTCCGCAGTTTGTTAGCTTGAGGTACGGCGCAGTGTTGCTTGAAGTTACTGCATAATAATTATTATTATGTAATGTATAATTTTTTTTCTAACACCTACAAATTCGACTTAAAGACAGACTTATGGCAGAGATCTCGTTCATAACCTGGGGACTGCCTGGGGACTGACGACGCACAATCAAACCATATACACAGACAAAACCCTAAACCCTCACATGAATGTAACGTCACAAAAATGACACAATAAAACAATCTCACACTCTTTTGAGCGGAAAATGACATTAGGACGGATGTCACCAGCAACGGACCCTGAAGACTGAGGATCCAATCGGAAGCCCCTCTGGCACTTCGGCGGTGAAAGGGAGGTTCAGGAAGGTGGGGTCATTGTCATTGAGATCCAGCAGATTCACAAAGACGGTGGTGCTGACCGAGGAGCGCAGTGGAGGCCTTCCACCTATAGGGGGCAGCAGAGACACAGTAAAACCTTCCAGCTGTTCCATTCAAATAAACTTTCAAGTAGAGGAAAGTCAAGCTGAGGCTGTTCAATGCAATAGCAGAATCTGAGCTAGAATACTGTGCCCAACTTGCTTAAGAGAGGTTATTACTGCGCAGAGAATTCAACGAAGAACACCATGAAGGATTTCCAACTGGAAAAAGCAATTAGTAGGTTACAAGCACTAGATCTCTTCAGTCTTGTGCAAATGCAGCTGATAATTGACATGATCCGAGTGTAAAATCCATCTTGTTTTTGCCTAATTGTTGCATAAAAGAAACCTCCTTTGATAAGAGTAAACCGAAAAATTTCAAATATTCACCTTATGCTCCATATGCACAAGCCTGGATTAGGGGTATTAAGTGCCCCTGGGCAACAGCACACATAACAGAAAGAACCGGAGCCGGTAGGTGGATCATGAAATTCAGAAATGCCCCTACATTTAATCCGGGCCTATAAAGTCGTATCAGAATCAAGAACACAAATGGTATGTAATATAAATCAAATATGGTTGAGACTGAAGGGAAGACGAGAGGGCAGCCGGGAGTGAGAAAGGACAGGAACAGCTGCCTGTCTTACTGTCTCTGGCGGAGACCACGATGGTCCTCATGAGCTGCGTGTCTCTGGGGACGGGACTCTCCCTGTCCAGCACCGCTCCGCTGGTGCGGATCTTGCCCGTGCTGCTGTTTATGGAGTAGAAGGGGTTGGCTGGGCTGATCTGGTACACCACCGTCCCATTCTCCCCGTTGTCTGGATCTACAGCCAGCACCTGGGAAGTGTGTAAGGTAACTGTATTGGAACCAGCACACAACCTACCAAAAAAAATAACCTACAGGAAACTACTTAAAAGGAGAAAACAAGGAAACTGAATAAAGTTCATTGTTATTACACATACCTAAGAATTACTTAATAAACTTTCCCCTGAGATCAATAATGTGTCACACCATCCATCCATCCATCCATCCATCCATCCATCCCCCCTTTGGTAGCACCTTCTCACCATTAAGTCAGAATATACCCAATGGCCCCCAGTATCAGGCAGCAACCCCGTCTGTCTCCAGAACCACTAGCTGTGTGGAGACTTTTTGTGGCCTTTCTGCTGTCCTGAGCTGTTATTTTCACACCTGTGACCTTCATGTCAGCTTTCACCAATCCAGCCA